TGCAATCTTATTCAATTTTAAATATTGTAAATATATAATAAATATAAATTATTATTATTATTATTAATAATAAGGTTCAGTAATTTAATTTTTAGAAATTTGAAATTTTAAAATTTTTTTTTCTTTGACTAATTATTATGCATTTTTAGAAATGATTAGAATTTTTGCAAATATATTAGAATTTGAAATCTTCCAGAAACATTCCAGAAATTTTTTCCAGTATTTTTAAAAAATTATATTCCTTTTTTTGCCAGAAGATTTATAGGTGAACAAATTAATTAATTTCACAACACTTTTTTTATAAATAAATCAATCATTCTCATGATAACTTTAAAAAAAAAATAAAGAAATTGTTTTTGATAAAGGAAATAAGCTATTATAAATTGTTTCATATCCGTTTTCATGAGTATTTTTATTATTAAATATCAAATAGCAGCATTAATGAATAGGCAATTTTTATATTATAATAATAACAATAACAATAATAATGGTAATAATAATAATAATTTTAAGCCAAATTATCACTACTGCCTATTGATAAAGCATAATTTAAGTTCTTTATGTTAAAAATCATCTGATTTTAAATAGAATAATCAATTTTTGAATATTTATTTTACTATATAAAATAAACTTTATGATAATAAAATTTATCACAAAAATTTTCGGGTTATTTCATAGCAAATTTTTTCCCTACTATGAAACCTATCGTGGAACTTTATTCCTACCAAATAAATCTCCTTTTTTTTAATTTTATTAGTTTTATAAACCTATTGATTATCTCTCGTTAAAAAATTATGTTCGCTATTGTGCTCCTTTTTTTTATTTCAACTGCCTTCTATCATATTTTTTTGTACATATAATGTATGTATAAGTCTTTCGATTTATCTTTCTTTACAATGCAATTTTTATAATAAAAACAAAAAATTTCACAAATTTTTTTTATCATAAATTTGTGAAGCATTTATTTCTTTTTATTATGTGATTTGTTTATTATTATGTATTTCGAAAAAAAAAGATTTATTAATTTAATTAATTATTAATTATTTTTAGCCATTTTTATTAAAATTATTAAATAAATTTGAATAAAAAAATAAATGATTTTTTTTGTAAAAAACAAATGAATTTTAGAGAAAATAAATATTATGAAAAAAATTTTTTTAAAGGAAAATTTTCTCTAATCATTGTCGTAATTATTTATAAAAAATGAATTTTAAATGTTTTTAAAATAAATAAAATTAATTTTATTCAAAAATTCTCTATTTAATTAAATTTACGAAATTTTTATGAAATTTTTTTAAAAAAATTTCTTTAATTAAAATTGTAATTTTTTTTATTAAGCGAAAGACTAAAATTCAAAAAATGGAAATTTTCGAATTTCGTTGGCAAACAATGGTTTTAATTATGTCATCGTTTTTCGTTCATTCGTTTCGCATTATTCGATTTAATCGAAAATAATATAAAAATTTTAATAAATCAATATTTCATATTATTTCATTTGAATTTACTAATTTTTTTGAATAATTTAAATGATATTTTTAAAAAAATTTAAAAAAAAATTTGCATTCTAAAAAGTTTTACGAATTTAATCAATATTGTTTAATTCATTTAATTAATTTTTTTTTTAAATTTGTATTTTCTTAAAAATATAGTTTTAAATTTGAGAAAAACGGGTTAAATATGCAAATTATTCTTTTATTTTTCCTCATTGATGGTTTTTTATAAATATTTTTTCAATAAATAAATAATTGGATTTGTAATAAATATTTAAAATAATAAAAAAATAAAAAAAATTTTGATAATATCGATTTTTTTCGCAAATTATAAAAAATTTCAGTTTTTTGAAAATCTTAAAGTTTTACAATTATTATTCCAGCCAGTTTATTCGGTAATTGAATATGAATTCTTGAAGAAGAATAAAATTTCAGTTAAAAGTTTTATCACTTTCAATTAAAAAACTGTGCAAAGCAGTAAAATAACGTTTTTTTCAGGACAATAAATGAAAGTAAACTTGTTTCCATTAGCAATTGATAAAAAATGATAAGATTTCTTTTTCTTGATAATTGATAACTTGTTTCATTATAAATTAATTAAATTATAATCAAATATATAGTTTAATACTTCTTTTTATTTTTCTAAAAGAAATAAAATTAAATGAGTATTTGAATAGAAATAATTCAGCTGCTACTCGATTTCTCCTTCCGCTTGCTATTAGCATGATTGTTAAGATTTATTAGCAATTCGCTTAATGAGCAACGGCCATTTTTGGGAGACATCGTGTTAAACATCGTGTTAAATATGCACAACTGATAGCGAATATCAAATTTTTATAAAATTTTTCATGATAACCAGTAGAATAAAATTTTTTTATTTTTTAGAAGTATTTTAAGAAATTAAGGTTAATAATTAATATTTTTTTATTTAGTTCACTAAAGGCACCGATTTCAAAATATCGATGCTAGAATTTTACTTCTTGCAGGAATAAATCTATTTCTTAAAAATTCAAGTGGTATTGCTAATTTAGTTGTGCTTTTACAACTGACTGATAAAACTTGTTTAATTGTTTGATAAACTAGCAAAGTGAACTATAAATAGTAAATAGTAAATAATATAAATAAATAAATAATATATTCTTCCATCATTTATTTAAATGCCAAATTATTGATATATGAAGTGTTTTATTTCCAAAAGTTGTAAAAATAATAAATTTTATTACAGTTTATTAAAAATTATTTTACACATTCAAGAAATTCCTCCAAATATAACTTTTTATCACTATTGTCACTATGAAGGAAAGAAAAGAAAGGAAACTTGATATAAAACAACAGTTAAAAATGATAAGAATGATATAATAATAGTGATAAATATTATGTCATTGTATAATCATATAGTAATAATTGCTACTAATAAAAAACAAATATTAATAATGAATAAATATTTTGATCAAATCGCTAATTTTATTTAGTGCATTTCAAGTTCCTTTTTTTTTTGTTTCACATTTCAATTTAATAAGAAAATAAAGAAGTAAAGAGCTAATTAATATTACACAAAAATGTTGTAATAATCACATTTCTATGAAATTTTTAACTCATAGAATTCCTTGATTGGTAGTTAGTTTGTAATTGGTTTGTACACATATTGTTATTATCATTGTCATTGTCATTGACTATCATCGTTTTTATTATTATCACTTTTATCGCTATCATCGCGATAATTATGATGATAACAACTATCATTATCACTATCAATACTTATTATATTTGTTGAAAATATTTGTTTCTTAAAAAAAATTCTAAAAATATTACCGAGAATTTTTTTTATCGCACAATACATCATTATAGGAATGCAAATTTAAAAAAATAAAAAAAAAATGAAATGAAATTAAAAGAAAACAACATTCAAAAGAATTTAAACATAAAAATTTCAATTCCATTAGCAAAAACACTTTCACTTTATAAATTCACTTACAAAACACTTTATAAATTCACTTACAAAACACTTTATAAATTCACTTATAAGATTGAAGAATTTAGTAATTTAAGTAAAAAGTAAAATGTTAGTGATTTTAATTTACCGTTTCTGGTTTGGTTCGCCTCGCACATTATTCTTACTTTAAGAAATTTTTTAGGGAATTATTTGGTGATAGAAGTGATAGAAGTACAGTTGAATTATCAATAACTGTACCCAACAACTGTTTTACGTATATATTCATTGAAATTCATTGAAAAATTCAATTAAAATAAATAGTATTATTTATTCATATTCATTATTATTGAAGCGATTGATAACGAATTAATTAAATTTTCAATAAAAATGATAAATTTTCAATAAAAAAATTCATTTTTTATTAATAATAATGATGATAATAATAATTTAATGATAATGCTAATGATAATAATAATAATGGATAATAAATAATTATAATATTAATAAAATAAGCGATTTTTAAATTATCGAATTTTTTTTTCAAATTCGCTTTAAAATAGCCTAAAATCTTGTTTCAAAATCATTTCGAAAGAACTTGAAAGAACTTATTTTTGAGAATAAATTTGTAGATGTCAATAATTTATATTTATAAAATTTATATTTGAGAAAACGGCGATCACTCTTTAGCAGTGAGAATTTCATGAAAAGGCGTTTATATGCATGTTTGTGTCTGTCTATGCTTATTTTAGCATAACGATTTTATTGTATATAAATATCGTCGATAATGAGATATAAATCATTTTTAGCAAAATCTTGCTATGATTTCTATCTATTTGCTTCTATTATCCGTTGCGCATTTTATAAGCAGTACACCTGGTTAGTTTTTTTTTTTTTTTAATCTTACAATAGTGCCAAGAAGTGTCAATTATTTTGATTTGATAAATTTGATATTTGTTGGTGATTTATTAAAATTATTGATAAATAAATATCAATGGTTGATGCAAATGAACTACAATATTGAATTTTTTGTTCTAATAACTCACTTTATTTTTTCACTTATTTGCACTTTATTAATTTATTAACTTAACTGCATTTATTATCAATGATAAGAATTATAATGTTATAATCAATTAAGATTATTAATTTTCAATTTGAAAGCATTGATTTTCTTAGTTTTCGACAATCGACAATGAATGGAATTTTGCTTAGTGGAATTAACAAAAAGAAAAGCTTTAAAAGCTTTAAATTTCAACTAATATTCAGCTAAAAATAATGAAATATCCCGGACTTGTTTATCGACTAAAAATAACTGGTAAAACTAGTTAGTAAAATAGAGATAAATAGCGACAATTATCATCAATGTTTTTCCATAATAAATTTGTTGACTTCATCATATGAATTTCTCATTTTCATAAAAATTTCTTTTTCAAATTTCAATAAAATTCAATAATCGGATTAATACGAATAAATTAAAAATTATTTTCAAAAATTATAAAATATTTTAATAATTTTGAAAATTAAATAAAAATGAAAATTAAAAATAATTAAAATAAAAAAAAAATAAAAAATATAAAAAAATTGAATATGAAAATTTTTTTCTTCGAAATTATGGATTACAATGAAAAATTATTTTTCTATATTAATTAGAAATAATAATAAAATGAAACTTGAAAACTTTTCAAATCTTAGGACCAAAAAATATTAATGTTGATAGTCGTTGGACAAAATGCGAATCGAGTAATCGAACAATTTATGATTTCGAAGTCGAAGATCTCGAAGGTCAACGCCGAGATTTGAATGAATATCGCGGAAAAATTTTATTAATTATAAATGTTGCAACATTTTGTGGTTAATTTTTAATCCGCTTCGATTGAATGTTGTTTTTAAAGTTTGAAAAAATTATTTCACTAGTGAATAGGCAAAAGGGGGAAGGGGGTATTCAATAAAGCCTTTCGATACACTTCTAAACCAACTTTCTTCCTTTCCTTTCTATTCCTTTATATATCGTCTATAAGGCCATGTATAGTTGGAAATTGCTTACGTATTCAAATCCAAAATCCTTTCTGACCATATCAGATTAGGAATTATTAAATGGTTACTTCGATTCTTCTTCTTCTAACAGCTCTAACAGCTCTCACCAATATTGGCTAAGCTGGCTCTAATGGTTATAAGGATAAGACGCTTTCACGCGGCGCGGTCCGATGCCATTCCTTTTTCCATTGTCTAAGTCCATACATTGCTGGTCCACCTATGCGTTCAAAATCTTTTCTGATCGTGTCAGTCCAGATCTTGATAAGCCAACCTCGCTTTTGACGTCATCCATCACATGGTTTTGCAAATAACGATATATGCGATAACTCTTGTGGTAGACGACGGAGAACGTAGCCAGCGAAGGCGATGCTCTATGATAAATTATTAATGCAAGTTACTTCGATTATCAATGGAACTTTAGAAATTTGTCGTTAATCGACAAATTTTCGAGCAATTTTCAAAATTAAATAATTATCCATAAAATGCCATAAATGCCACAAATGCAACAGAAATTTTATTATGATAGATTATTTGAATAAGAAATCATAAAAGTAAAAATTTTCGTCTTTTTTCAACTAATTTTTTGATTTTCGCAGCTTTTACTAAACAATATTTGGATTTCAATCCACTAATAGAAGCGAATTCCGATATTAATCTCGAGATACTTGCATTTCCATGTAATCAGTTCGGTTTGCAAGAACCTGCAGAAAACCATGAAATATTAAATGGTCTTATGCATGTTCGACCTGGCCATGGATGGAAACCACACAAAAATTTGCATATTTATGGCAAAGTGAAAGTTAATGGAGATGATCAACATCCACTTTTTGAATTTTTAAAGGTGAAAAGCTAGGAATTTAGGATTTATATTTATTTTTTTGTTAAAGATTTGACCAAGATTTTGAAAAAAGAATGCAAAAAAAAAGTTAGGCTTAATAGCTGAATTTGAAATGGGCAATAAACAAATATTCCTTTGTATTTGTTGCATGGGAACGTAATTTCATTTCGCAATTTTTCAGGATTCATGTCCTCAAACGGTAAAAACTATTGGAAAACCATCAGAAATGATGTACGAACCAATACGAGCAAATGATATTACATGGAATTTTGAAAAATTTTTGATCGACAAAAACGGAATAGTAAGATATCGATTCCATCCAACTGCATGGAAAAATGGTGATATCGTTCAGAAATTCATTCAGACACTCGCGAACAATAAACAAACAATAAAAAAATAAACAATAAATAAAATAATTTTTATATCAAAATGTGATAATAAAAAACTAATAATAATAATAATGATAAACGGTGATAAAAATAATGCGAATTGCATGAACCATTCTTATAAAAACATTTGCAATAAATTTTTTTTTATTTAATCGACTTGATTGAGAACAATAAATATTTCACTGAATTCATTCCATAAATAAACCTACAAGTAGAAGTGAAAACCTGGATAACTAATAGCGATCCAACTCCATTCCATCTTTGCTTTCAGATGATTGCTTCATGAAAGTGCCATACTTTAGTATATTCAGTTATTCAAACCAGTAAAGGGGCATGTTTAGGCAATTTAAGAAATTCGATTTATATTTTCAAAATAATGATGCATGGCAAATTTAATGTAAATATTTTGATGGATTGGCTATTTTCTTGATAATCGAAGTAATCTTAGCCTATTCATTATAAATGAATTAGAATTTATAAATAGATCGAAAAATTTTTTCATAATTTCTAGCTTGAACCTCATTTTAAAAAATATAAGATAGAAAATTTATGATAATTGAAAAATTTAAAAATTTAACAAAAAATTTTATTGATCATACAATCGCTTACATACATAAATATAATTGTGTCAAAAATGGTTTTTTTTTTAAAAAAAAAAAAATGCAGAATAACCTGAATTGTTGCCACTTAGATTATGGTCTTAAGAGTCTTAAGATTCGAGTCTCTGATATCTCTGGTGAAAATGAACTGAGAAATTCACAGGTGGTACTAGAGATCGACATGCGTTTCTATTATCTACGAATATACCTCACTAACATAAATATATTAGCTTAATTAGTGAACATAAACTACTTACAGTACTTACAGTATGCCTTCCTCATGAATACTTAATTTTCAGATTTAACGCCAAGATCCTCAATTTTTTAAAAGTCTAATAATTATTTAGTCAACTATTATAATAATTAATTAATATAGAATGGCTCAAGGGATCATTTGGGAATGTTGGTGAAATTCTGGGAATTTTACTGCTAGCAGGAGTAAATCTAAATCTTTTAAAAATTCAAATATTTGTATCACAACTGACGAGCCATTTACGATTTCTATCGATAAGTTATTTATAACTAAAATTTTATTATCTGATCCGATAAGTCAGTGGAACTAAGCTAAGCTAAATAGAAATTTAGATGAGCGATTTTATCAATAAAATCAAATCAAAAATATTATTGATAAAAATGATAAAATGATAACAATGAGAATAGTAATAGCGCAAATAATGCGTCATCCCTTGATTTTTTGCTACACTTTTATAAGCTATTTTGAGTTGTCTTGAAATATTTTTTGAATTCTCGATGAATGCGTTTAAGAAAAAAGAAAAATTTAATTTTTTTTTTATTTATATTTAATATTAAATATAAATAAATGTTTGTGGCATAATTTCACTAATTCATTTCATTTCAAAATTAGAAATTAGAACAAATATTACGTTCGTTGTGTGATTTTATCTTTTTTTAAACAAAAATAGAACAATTTCACGCAAATGAAATTTAATTCGATAAAAATTTAATTTTCATTAACTTAATTAAGCTATTTTTATATGAATTTATATTCTTATCATTATATTATTATCATTAAATTTACTTGAATTTTTTTAATATTTATGATATATTTCTATAAATTTAATTCAATAGGTCCACTTTATTTTATCATTTGTCATTATCATTATCATTTATAGCGTCCGTTGGCTATAAGGATAAAATATCTTCAAGCTGCTCGGTCCGATGCCATTGCTAATAGTAATAGAAACCATTTCTTTTTCCATCGTCTAAGTCCATATATCGCTGGTCCACCTATCCGTTGAAAATCTTTTCTAACCATATCAGTCCAAGTCTTGATTGGCCCAATTTATTTTATATTTATCATTTGTTTATCATTATCATTTATTATCATTTAAATATATATTTTATTTTCACAATTATAAATGAAATCCTTTCAATTCTTTGTCTGCATTTCTCATAGACACCAAAAAATTCCACGGTACCAAACCTGTTAGAAGAAGAAGAAGAAGCACTATTTGATAAAAGCTATAGCGACAAATTATCCGCGGCTGCTAATTAGAATTTTGTGTGCTTTTCCTTTTTCTTCCCACCAGCTTGTTTCCAATCAGGCGGATCGGATTCATTTAGCGATAGGAATATAGGTAAGTCATCGGCGTTGGTACTTGAATTTTTGTAATATAGGTTTATTCTTGTCGCGGGGGAATGGAATTACTATAATCGCGCTCCGACTTAAGTGCAACAACCTACTGCGACATTCATTCCATTTCTCTATAATTATCAACTATACGTTTGGTTCTTTTGATTGGTTATCAGTGAAAGTTTTTTCACCTGTTATCATTATTATCATTTTTCTATATATTTAGTTAAAATAATCAATTAATTTTTCATATAATGAATCGATGAATATTTGCTAAAAATGCAGGGATTCGAATCGTGTCTCTATCAGACAATTATGAATTATACGGAAGGCGAAAATCATATCGCAAATGCAAATGCGCATGCAACAAATGCAAACGACGATTTACAAGCGTTTCGACGACGTAAAATCGCATTAATTACGGGAATTTCCGGACAGGTTGCATTATTTTTCTTTTTTTTATTTATTTTTATTTATTTATTATTATTTATTTTTATTTTATTTATTTAATATTATTTTAAATGGTTTTTTTTCAAATTTTTAATTTATTATAATTAATTAATTTATTGTAATTAATTTATTATTATAATTTCAATTCAAATTTCAAAAATTTATTTAGCTTACAATTGATTTTAATGTTTTTAATATAATTTCTATTTTTTTTATCTCTTAGTTTTAATATAATTTTTTAGTTTTAAAAAAGAAATTTTTTTTTGAAGTTTTATTTATTTTATTTATTTATTTATTTTTTGGTAATTTACGCACAAAAAATTTTATACAAATTTTAAAACTAAAAAAAAAAATTTTAAATTTTAAATAAGATTAGAATCAGTTATAAACCCAAACATATTTTTGAATTAGAAGAATTGAAATATTGAAAATATTAATATTTAGAAAAATTTTTTTTTGTATTTCCTAGATTGCCTAGTTTTATTAGCCACAAAACTAGTATTTTTCAAATCTCATCGTTCAATATCTAATGATTTGATTAAATTCATTTGATTAAATCTGCGAAGCGTTTTTTGAAACTTTTGATCTATTTTCATAAAAATTATTTTCAGGATGGTTCATATTTAGCTGAATTACTTTTATCTAAAGGCTATAAAGTACACGGTATTATTCGAAGATCGTCATCGTTTAATACAGCTCGAATTGAACATTTATATTCGAATCCAGTTACTCATTATGGCGATCAAAATTTTAAACTTCATTACGGTGATATGACCGATTCATCTTGCCTAATCAAATTAATTTCTCAAATACAACCTACTGAAGTATATCATTTAGCTGCACAAAGTCATGTTAAGGTTTCTTTACTGCAAGTTTTATTTTATTTTCGTTAAAGAATATCTTCCAATCATTTCGAATAATTTCATAAGTTTCATAAATTTCATAATAAATTTTTTCATTATTCTGCTCAAACCGCTGATTATGAATGAAGATTTTTTAGGTATCATTTGATTTGCCTGAATATACTGCGGAGGTTGATGCTGTTGGAACCTTACGACTTTTGGATTCGATTCATGCTTGTGGATTAACTAATAAGATTCGCTTTTATCAGGCTTCTACCTCTGAACTTTATGGAATGGTGCAGGAAGTACCACAAAAAGAAACGACACCATTTTATCCAAGATCACCTTATGGTATTCAGCATTTTCTTTTTTTAAAGATTTCTACTCCATGTTAACGTTTTTTATTTCTTAGTGAGATTCTAAGTTTAAGGATAAGGTGAACCTGTATATAGAAAATCTCCTATCGCATCAGCAAATTAGCAACAGAATGAATTTATAAATATTATAAATATGAATATAATATTAAATATAAATACAATTATATTTATATTTATAATATAAATATAAATTTATATTATAAATATAAATATAATATTAAATAAAAGAGACAACAATTTTCTTTTAGCTGTTGCCAAACTGTATAGTTACTGGATCGTGATTAATTATCGTGAAGCTTATAATATGTTTGCTTGCAATGGAATATTGTTTAATCATGAAAGTCCGAGACGAGGCTTGTTTGCATTCTATTTGTTTTTTTCGCTTAGTTTTTCACTTTTTTATCTCTATTTTAGGATAATTGTTTGTATTCGTTTTCGGTTTAAATTTTATTCCATCATTCCAAGTTTTTAAAGTTCAAAAAATTTTATACTTATTTTCTTTAAAAGATTCAAAATTTTCGACGTTAATTTCAGGTGAAACATTTGTAACACGAAAAATAACTCGGGCAGTTGCTAAAATCGCTCTTGGACAACAGGATTCTATTGAGCTAGGAAATTTGAATTCTCGTCGTGATTGGGGTCATGCTCGAGAATATGTTGAGGTAAAATATTTCGCAAGCTGCAGTATTCGCCACATGATTTTAATTGGTTTAACAAATATTTCTTAGGCTAGAATTGTTGATTCTTCTTTTTTTATAGCGATTTTTTTCTTTTTTTTTTAAAGGCCATGTGGCGAATACTGCAGCACGACGTTCCGGATGATTTTGTAATTGCAACTGGTAAAAATTACGCTGTACGTGACTTTGTGCAATATGCATTCAATGAAATCGGTGAAACGATTGTGTTAGATTTTTCTTTCTTCCTTCTTCACTATTTGTTTTCTCAACATTGGTTCCTCTAAATACTATGACGAATTTTTTTCATCAAATAATCATTTGCGGATAGAAACATAGAGGAATTTTCGCCACAATCTCACTTTTGTTTCGGAGAAAATATTCTGTCGATGAGTCGATGAAACTTGAATTAATCGAATTATGTAATATTCCACAGGACTACATTGCTTCTTTTAGGAAAATAAAAAAAAATGAAATGAACGCGCAATTTCAGATGGGAAGGAGAAGGAATCAACGAAATTGGTAAAGAACAAAAAACCGGCAAAATACGAGTCAAAGTTAATCCAAAATATTATCGTCCAACAGAAGTAAGAAAGTAACATTTTTCTTCAGTCTAAGTCGTCTTTCTTATAAGAAAAGAATTTTTTAAAAAATTTTTTCTATTTGCAGGTTGATTTACTTATCGGTGATTCAACGAAGGCAAAGTTAAAATTAGGCTGGGAAGCGAAAGTACAGTTACAGGTAATTTCTTTTTCTAAATAAAAATTTTTTCAAAAATCTGATTTAAAGTATTTTTTTCAGGAAATAGTAAAAGAAATGGTTGCTAGCGATCTTCAATTAATGAAAGCAAATCCATTGGCTTGACATTCAAATCGGATTTAATTTTTCAAGGTTTTTTTAAAGGATATTTCAGATTAGAGAAATTTGTATCGTTTATTTGACTGATGATGGTTTCATAGTAGCAATTCAAGTCAAGCAATTATAGTTTGATTTACTTTAATTTTAAAATTAAATTATGAAATACTTTTCTATCATCTTTTTAAATTTCCAAATTATCATTATACTATTTTTAAAAGATTTTTTAAAATTTTTTCAGATTCAGCCAATTTTTCACTGAAATTTTAAGGGGAAATTAAACAAAAAAATAGAATTCAGCGATGAAAATTTATCTATACAGTGGACAAAGTGGATTATGATGGAAAGGAACATTAAATTGAATTTATTAATGGACCTAGGAAGATTGGTAAAATATGATAAAAAATGGCGAACATTCAACAGAGAATAATTGATAATAAGAGATGTAAATAAATAAATAACTCGTTGTTATATCAATTTCACTTAGATTTTTTAAATATTTTTTTGTTTTTGGGCTATTACTATTGTTTTTGAATCATTAAAGAGTTGAACGTCGAGAATTCGAATCCTTTATGCAACTCGTTGGCAAATGATAATGCATATTCAAAGTATAATGAAATTATAATGGACTCATTTTGAAAAAAAAAAAACAGATAGAATGGATAGAATAAAGTGGGAAAAATTTTTTAATAACCTCGCGTATATGTACAAAAATTGGAAATTCCTAGGAAAACAACAGATTTAAATGGAAAAAAAAAAATCATTCGATATCAGAAACGAGACTCGACGAAGAAAGAATATTTTAAAATAATGAAGCCATAGCGAATGATTTATTTTTTACCGGATTTCTTGATACCACCACCAGTCAATGGACCTCGTTGAGCTGCTTTTTCCGATGCTTCCTTTAGTTTTTTTGCTTCCTCTTGTTGTTTCTTCTTGAATGCTTTATCTTCCTCAAATAAAATTTATAAATAACCGATAAGTGAGATCAAAAGAAAACCAAAACATTTCCATTTGAAGCTGTGAGAAGAAATGAATAATATAAAAAAAAACCTCGGATAATTCTTGTGCAGCTTTCTTCGGCTGTTTAAGCGGTTTCGCTTTTCCACCTTGCCTTCCGGACATTATTAAAGAAAACGTCTCAATATAATCACTGCAAATGTGAATAGCGAATAAAAATAATCAAGTGGGAAAAATAATGATAGGCGAAAATCGCTTAATAATTTAATACTTTAACTCGACTGAACCATACTCATCGCCATTTTGTCTCTTTATTTCTTTTAACAGAAAATAAATGAAAGAAGGAACCTTAATCTGCCACACTTTTAAAATCTTAAAATCTCGAGCCTAACCTATGACCTACGACCTGTAACACATGACCCACAACCCCAAACCACATAAATATTCAAAAAAGTACACCACGTATACATGAAAATTGTGGTGAATTTTTTGTGGCCACGGTAGAAGTTTATGCGGCCCACTAGTTTTGCAGCAGTTTGTTGGTATTGTTGGATTTGCCTGTGGAACTCTTTGACTTATTTAAAGAAATTTATCGATAAAAAGGTTGATAAATGAAAGAGAAATGAAAATGAAAGTAAAAAATTTCTAAAAAATTGATAAATTATTGAAAAAAATCAATCGTATTTATGTATTTTTTAATTAAAAACAATTTAAATTGTTAGTTTTCGCGAATATTTCAATATTTTTTAAATTATTTACTTATTTATGTAATAATTTTATTTTTAATTGACTTATTGACTTCTAATAACTTTTATTTTAATTAATTTATTATTATATAATTTTATAATTTTTATAATTTTATAATTTTAGTTAATTTATTTTAATTTATTATAATTTCGATTTATAATTTGTAATTTTGTAATTTAGTAATTTTAATTAATAATTTCAATTTTAATAATAATAGTTTATAATTTTATAATTTATAATCTTAATAATATTAATTAATAATTTCAATAATTTTAATTTATAATTCTTATTATTTTAATTTATTTATTATAATGTGCGAATTCATTTCGACAAAATCAAAAGCTATCGATGAAAATTGTAGTGTAAAATTTATTATTTAATTTTAAAATTTTAAATTATTTTATAAAATTATAAAATTATTTAAAATTTTTTTTTAATCTAAGAAATTTACCCAAAAATAATCATTAAAAATGATTCCTTATGAAATTATTTAATAAGTTTATTATTATAAGTTTATAAGTTTATAAGTTTAATATAATAAGTTAATAAGTTTATTATTTAATAATAAAAATAATATAATAAATTATTTAAAAAATAAAAATAATAGAAATAAAACCAAAAAAAAAAAATTTTGTCACTCTCACGCATCTCTTAACAGTCAGCCACAGATAGATCATGAAGCGTTTGTAGAGAGGGCTCAGTTTAATAATCACTACATTAAAATGTAATATAAATGAGGCCATACGTAGCAGCTCAGAATGTCGAGGAAAAGTTCCACTGCTGGTAGGAATAAATCATACTCATTGAGCAGATCCTATAGTACTAGGAATCCTAGTATATTATGCCTTTTAGTATATGCTACTTTTTTTATATCCTCCAATATTTGTTGGACAGTTTCTTGGACTTTTCTGCACTCTCAGTACCATAAGTATATCTCTACTTCAATGGAACCAATGCATAAAATCTATTCATATTTTTTAGACAACTGGTAAAATTTCTCAATGTCAGTCACCATAGCTATTTGCGATAGCATATTCTATGGAGAGTCTTATTTTATTATGGTTCGTCTTTTGCTTAGTCTTTCTCTAATGTCTGTTAATGCTTCTCTTATCCGCTCAGCTTATCCTTTAGTGCCATCTTGCTGATGCATTCTTGCTGAATGCTTCGAGTTTCGTTTAGGATAGTTGCTTTAACCACTCACCAAGTTCCATCCATCGGCCTTTTTTTTGTTTGGTGCACAATTTTTGAATGTTAAACTTCAAGTGGAAATTCCCGTACATATTGATTTAAACAAAAAATTCATTTTAATATCAATGATATTAATATTGAAAATAATTTGATTTGCTCCTTTTGCTTGGTTTTGATAAAAATGATAGTCCGAAAATAATCGAGAAATTATCAAATTTTTAACAATAAATTCAAAATATGAAATAAATAAATAAATAAATAATATTACTGTAATTAATATTAATAAGATTAATTAATATTATTATTTATCTTATTAATATTTACAAATAAAAAATAGAAATTTAACGGTTTTTAAAAAAATTCAGTTATCAGGAACAGCTAAGATACCGCGCAGAATTCTCAATCTCTCAGGCCTCTAGTAAAAGATCAAAGATCTGAGGTTGAGGATGATTATGATCATCCACCGGTAAAAAAGAGAAAAATTGTTGTATATAAATAAAATATAAATAAAATAAATTCAATCAACTAAGCAAATTTTTTTGCTAAAATATTTATAAAATATTGTTTTGTAAAATTATAATATTTATAAGATTTTATTTATAAAATTTATTTTTAAAATCATTATTATTAATATTTATAAAAAGAATAAAATTTATAGAAAAATTTATTTATAAAAATGGATAAATACATTTAATATATTATCGATATTGAATTATTATTTAAAAAATATTTAATATAATAATGAAGGCAATAAGTAATAAATATGATAAAAATAAAAAATAATGACAAATTAAGCCAATAAAAATATATTCCTCGAACATTATATATATATATATATATATATTTCAAACTTTTATTTTATTTTGTAATATAATAATTTTTCGAGATTTTTTATTTTATTTTTTAATACTTTAATTAAAATAGTGCGTCAACGTCTCAGTGCTTAAGAAGATAATTGCTATCGAGAATCGAAGCTTGAATTCTATCGAATCGAGCCGATGCACTTTTCGTTCAGCAGCAATATCGCCTAAGGAGAAGAAGAACCACAGGATAGTCGAATGTCTCAATGAGTTATTGCTTATTTCGGAGCGTCAATTCTAAAGTATCGAGCAGTCGTCTAAACTAAACCTATTACAAAATCTTTCTAACTAACTAAGTCTAATTAAATCTATTCAAAAATCTGGTTGATGCTGGCGACTTAACCGTCGCTAAACAATTCTTTGGCATATTTGTCTAATGCGACAAGCCAGTTGGGCGAGTTTATTTGATAACCAACAATTGATAAGTCTGATCAGTATGAAATTATCTAATTTAAACTTTAGCGTAAAATTTCTGTAGTCGTGATTTATAAGTGTATAATACTATAATAATAATACATTTTATAAGTGATTGGTACCATTAATTCATTACTGGTTCGGCTAGCTGGTGTTTGTTTGCTAGCCTCGTACTTATGAGAATTACTCGTTTTTTTATGAAATTCCATTCTTTTTTTTTCAATAATAAGAAATTAAATCAAATTAAAAAATGCACTATTTTTTAAATGAATTCATGATGAATTTTGAAAAATCTAATTTGCATTAAAAATTATTATTATAAAAATTTGTTATAATTATTAAAAGTTTTGAAAATTTAAAATTAAAAAAATCTCAATGAAAATTTCAATACACATTTTTCGCTAATGAGAAAATTTTATATGAATTTAACAAAAAAAAAAAATGTTTTGCATATAATTAAAAAAACGAAAAAATAATTTTGAAAATAATTTTGAAAGAAAAAATAAAAAAAATTAAAAAAAAACAATTTTCTCACTTTTTTAAATTAATTTTCTTATGAAAATTATAAATAAATTATTATAAATTATTATATAAATTATTATATTATATAAATTATTATAAATTATATAAATTATAGAAAAATTATAAATTATAGATTATTTTTAATTATAAATTAAAAATTAATTTAATTTCAAATTAAATTAAAATTAAATTAAATTAAATTAATTTCAGATAAATGTTTCAAGAAATTCTAAATCTATGCCTAGAATATTATTATCATTTTTTTAATTATTTAATCATTTATCCAATATTACGCATTCTTCATAAAAAATTCAATTTTCAATTCCTTAATCTTGGCTATTTACCGACTAAAAACGATGATATATCAATTGAGGAATTACCGATCGACTCGAATGATCCATTATTACCGCATATTTATTTATATGAGAAAACATTAAGCGTTTGTCCAGCCTATCCGCATTTTCAAGCAATGCATTTACTCGAAATCGGTTGTGGTCATGGTGGTGGTTTAGCGTGGATAAAAAAGTATATTTTTTTAAAATATTTTTTTTTAGCATGAATAAAAAAATAAAAAAATAATTTATAAATAAATAATAAAAAAGAATTTTTATTATTTATTTATAAATAATATTTATAATAAATAATAAGAATAATATTTATAATAAATAATAAAAAAGAATTTTTTTCTTTTTTTAAGTCATTTTTAAATTTTCATCATGTGAACTTGCGCATGATTTTTCATGATTAATTTTATTTAATATTAATATTAATATTATTTAATATTAATTTTATTTCATAATTATTTAAGCGTATAGTTCTTAGAGTTCTTCTTTTTTCATTTTCTTCTCATAACTTTGAAGCATTCCAAATTCATTTGTTATCACCTCATTTGCTACTAGAATGATATATTTTTAAGCTTTTCTAGTGCTTTTCTAACCAAACACGAACTAAATTAACTAAAAACAATCGTTTTCTATCGTTTAAATTGATATATTTCGTGAATATATTATTTTTGAATTTATATCGCTAATATTTAAGTAAAATAAATTCAGGTCTCATCCTAAGATTGCATCAATAAAAGGCATCGATGTGGTTATTATTGAAGAGAATGAAGAAATAATTTATGGCGATGCTCATAGTTTACCATTTGAAGATAATTCATTTGATCTAATAATTAATATTGAAAGTAGTCATTTATATAAAGATAATGAAAAATTTTTCAACGAATGCTCAAGAGTTCTTCGACGTTCAGGATATCTTTGTTGGGCCGATCTTCGTTTTCACTATGAGGTATAAATAATTTTTAATTTAAAAAAAACATCGTATTTTTTAGCTAATTTTTTTATTAGCTATTAGTAAAAATAAAATTATTAGCAAAAATTTCATAATAATAAATATCACCAAAATTTCACCTCTTTATTTGTTTTATGCGATAGTTTATATAAAATCCAGGTAAATCAATTATTGCAACAAACGAATAATTCTCATTTCAAATTGATCGAATTTCTCAATATAACCGATTCGGTGATTCGAGGAATACATGCGACTTCAGCTCGATACAATTCGATGCTAGACAAAGCTCCATATATAATACAATTATTTAGCGGAACTTTAAAAACAACATATTGCTCACCTGGAACCGAAACCTATAAGCGAATAGTGCATCGAGAGAGATTATATTTATGCGCTTGCTGGATAAACCGTAAAAAACAATGAATTTTTTGAAAAACATTTTCTATAGCAACTATATTATATTTAATTTACAAGCAAATAATATTTTGAAAAAGGAAAAGAAACAACAAATAAATTCAGAAATGATAGAATGAAGAAAAGACTGATAACAAATTAATGATAGAAGTTAGGCTGATGATATGGATATGCAGGATGAAACCCTTGTTGTGGCCTGTGAAATCTGGTAAAATTGGAAAAATTGAAAGAGTTCGGTTGATTTGCTTGAGAAAATGACGGAAATGGCGCATTCGCACGATGATGCATATAAGCCAATTGAGTTCTAAAATATTCAAGAATTTTTATGAAAAATGCTGTCGAATATTTTGAAAAATCAACCAATTCCTCATAAATACACAAAGACAAAATGAAATGAAAAAGGTCAAAAAAATCACCTTCAATTTAAAAAAAAATCCACTAAAGTTTCAGAAAATGAAAAATAAAAATATTCAAAAATATGAATATAAAGAAATAAAAGAAGAAATAAAAATACAAACCTGTTCCAATCATTGTTTCTTTGCATACTCGGAGGCCATGTCATTTTATTTATAGATGGTGAATAACCCCGCACTTGCCCAGTTGAAAATGAATAATTGCAAAAAGGATTTTGTTCTGGGAATCGTCCATAGCAAAATTTTTTACGAGGTGGTTTTTTCTCTGCATTTTGCCACGATACTCTTTCACTCTTGTCTTTAATGAGAATTTTTATCAATTTTTATAATCTGTATGAACAATAATAAAAAATAGAACAATAACTACCTCTGTTTTCTTTTGGCTTTTTACTTCCTTCCAAAAAATTTCGTTCTGATTCATCGTCACTAAAAACCATCTCATTGACCGGGCATTCACCTTCACCATCCCAAAAATCATCACCAATTTTTTCTCTGTAATTAATTAGTCAATCTTTCGACATTTTCGTTTCAAAAAATGGTTAAATTGTTAAATTATAAACAAATAACAATGGTAAAAAAAATAAATAATAAAAAATACTAATAATATATTTATCGGAAATATTCATAATACAAGAAAATTAACTTTATCATCTGCTCAGGAAAAAGTGTATGGGTAAACTGATCGATTTTAGGGGCAAAATACACCGAATCTCCCTTCTTATATTCTTTTGCCTCTTCCACAGTATTAAAACGAATTGCATAAAGTGGATCCGATATAGAACCAATTACGTCATAAACCTGCAACGCTTGTAAATAACAAAATATAAAAGTAAGTTAAATTTAATTTTTCAGTAATTAATGCAATATTTTTACTAAATTTGCGAATTAATTATTTATATTAATGAATGCAAATAAATAAAGCATTATAATATAATATAAGGCAAAAAATAACCATTCCTATTGCGTTGCGACTTTCATCAAAAAATACTGTATCGAAATCAAAAGCAATTCTCGATTCTGATTTAACCAATACTAAATGTTTTTTTGTTTCTTTTTTAAATTTCAGTGAACGTTTTCAAATAAAATGGCAAATATCATAAAATTTAAATTAGAAATCTATAGAAAATTTAAATTAAACAATCAATTTTTCGATGAAACAAATGAAATAAAAGCAAATCGAAGAAAAAGAGAAAAAGGTTAAAAACTTCTTTTCGAACTTTGGAAAAAAGTGGAAAGATTCTACGTGGTACTAACCAAGACAATCAACTATATCAGCAATTTTTCCAACATATTCCAAATGAATATCCTCATCAACGTGAATACTTAGTTGCTCAATTTTAGGAAGCAAATCATATTCATTTTCAATTTTAATCGGATTTATCTGAGAAGTACAATCATTTCTTTTAATGATATGACGTTGTGAAAGTTCTAAGATTCTAAAAAAATAACAAATAAAAATGAAAGAAAAAGTACATCGCGAAAATGCAACTATAAAATATGTTTAAAAAAAAAAAAAAACAAGATAAGTGAAATAAATTCTCGGTTTAATAAATTTATAGAGCTCATAATTTCCGATTAGGATCACTCCGCCGAGTAATTAGTAGAATCAAAAAAAGTTAGAAAATAGAAAATTCAGCTAGAAAATCATCTGACGATAGGACAAATGAATCGACCGTCAA